ACTGCGTGTACGTCAATTACCGATTCAACTTTTGAAACCTGTGTAAATGAGTTACCGTATGAAATACACCTGAACAAGTAATACTTCATCCCCCAAACAGTGAGTTGACTTGTTGCCATTACTTCAACAATTTTGTCATTTTGATTCCACAATCTTGTCTTTCTTAAAGGTTGCTTTTACCAAAAATTGCTTGTCATTAAAACAGTCACTTCATGGCTTCATGCAGTTTGTGAAACTAAAACACATGCCACCTGTTTGGAAATTTCCTTCTCAAAGTACCATTATAAATGAAGTGAGGAATTGAGTGTGGTAGGTGTATGTTTAAGGTACTTTAGCAATTTCTCCGTTGCAGCTTCAATGTCTCCAAGCCAAGGTAGAAATGCCTTTCAGATCAATCGGTCGTCTTCATGGCGTATGGTCAGTGAATGGGTTAGACGATGCTTTCCTGGCAGGTTAGCATTTTGACAAAGTGTGCTAGTCTCCTCAAAGTGCCAGCGACATTTTAGGGTGATAACGACCCATTACTCGTAGTTAAAAATTATTGCAGCAGTATTTCTGCTTCAAGGCTTGTAAGGTTTGCTTTACGATAAAAGTGAAATTGGTTCATCTTAGCTCACGCACTTTGCAAGTTTAGGAACATCAAAATCGCTAAATACTTGGGCAACACTGAAAATACACTTCTCAAGCGGATTATTTTAATTTAAACTTGCTACAAGCCGTTCGCTTTAAAAGCGAGAAATATCGACACTATTTATAGTTTGTAACACATTAGAGTCGTAAGCAAAACCACTTTCTCATGAAAAGTATCCCTGAGGTATTAACACCAGCTGGCGTAGTCTGCTAAAGCCACAAATTCTAGAATTTGCTCATCAATCTTATAAACGCATCGCTTACATATGGGTTTGCCTTATGAATCTAAGGGCTATGCTGCCATCGCACTTAGAATTTCCACTTAATTAAATTATTTGTTGTTTTACACTTACTGTTAAATGATTGCTTTTTTAAATTCCAAATACACGATATTATACAACGAGCAAACCAAAGGGGCGAAAAGTTAGGATTCGTAGAGCAGGAAGACGTGTTATCAGTACTCACGACAAAATAAACTAAAAAGGGTTTTTCGGAATAATTTAACATTTATCAGGCATTCATTGGCACGTATGTAATTTGCTAAGGCGCTGTCTTTATCACTACAAGCACTTCACTCCATTCTAAAGGAAGGGTGATTCATCTTAGGCATTAGCACTCTTGTGAATGGTGTAAAGCAACATTTATCCAGACCGCAACTGACATTCTTGATCTAATTCCCCCTCACCATCATTTTAAACATTTCACGTATGAAGTCAGTATATCCAAATCACATATCTTCTTTTCATTTCCCTCCTAATCGCAGCTCTGTATTGTATCTCATCTTTCAGCAAGTACCTTCATCACAGTT